ACATAATTAAAGCATAGTGATTAATCACAAAAACAATATGTAATTATATATGTGTTTTTCGATGGTCTTAGGCGACCCCTGTGAAATTGTCATTCGACCCCCAAAGGGGTCGCGACCCACAGGTTGAGAACTGCTGGTCTAGATACTTTTATTTTCCCCATATTTTAGGAGAGTGAGAAATTTGTCCAAGGCCACGTAACTGATAAAGGGCAGAGCAACCGGATCCAGAGCCCATAGTCTATAACCAGGACACCTCTTGGCCTCAATACACGAAGCCAGGTCACTGTTGTAGGGGGCCTGTCCCACGCATTGTAGAATGCTTAGCAGCACCACTGGCCTCTACCTATTACATGCCAGTAGTACACCGCCCTCCATTGTGACAACCGAAAATATCTAACATGGCTAGCTGTCCTCTAGAAGGCAAAGTTGCTCCCATTTGAAAACCACTGATCTCTTCTAGTCTATATATATAAAAGGCTAAGTGTCTGTCCAACCGGTAGCTATGATGCACACTAACCACCAGGGGGCAGACGCTCTCAGGAGCTCCAAGTGGGACACAGGCCCCGCCACCACCCCGGAGCCACACCCCACCAAGTCACAGCCAACACTGCCAAGACCCCATGGCACTAAATGCAGCCCACAGCCCAGCCCAGCCTGGAAATGGTCACTGTGGGCGCCGGGAAATGATGTTATGAAGCAACACCCGGCTTCCTCTCCCTATCGACTAGCCTCCTTGGAGTTTCTTCAGCCCAGGAACACAACTTGCTTTATAGCCAGGTGCAAACATTTTACAGTTTTACCAAATGTCTGTGAAATGTTTTCCCGTGCCTCATCTCATTTGATCCTCACAGAAGTCCTGGAATAGGTAGATAGGAGACTCCGTAGAATCCTATTTTCTTTTCATTAGCAAGACGCAAAGAGCGATATTAAAATATTTCTTCTAATTAATTTCCTTTCAATGTGCATGAATCCGTGCACCAGAACACTAGTAATAGAATAACACTCTCCATATACTAGAGATGCACAATAGGGGAGCTTGATCCAAAGTTTGGAAATGGGACTCTGGAGCTAGGAGCGCTCCCCTCCACCTGTGCTTTTCTCCAACGCACTTTCACCTCCTGAATATTCATTTCAATCCTGGGGAAGTAGGCTGGGAACATTTAAATCAATCAAGGCTTAAGGAGATAAATCAGGCCACAAGAACCACCTGTGGAGCATTGGTTACACCTGGGCTCCGCCTCCTGCCTCTGGAGAGCATCCCACAGGGGCAAGGACTGCTTTTCCAATTCCCAGGAAGGTGCGCCGAGAGCCACTGACCTCTCCCCTCTTCTGCGCTCACAAGCTGTGAGCCAGGACAAACCCAACTCTAATTGGTGAGACGCCTTGTTTTGTTTCGCTATTAGAACTCCTCCTTCCATATTTATCTCCTTAAAACCTCTTCCCACAGCCAGCTGAAAAATGAGGTCTGAGGAGCAGGAAACCTGTGTATCTGCACAAAAAGCTTCCTGTTTGAAAGGTGAGAAGCCCAAGTAGGGAGAAACCTGAGCTGAGGAATTGGGTGCTTTGGAGTCAATTCCTGCAGTGTTTTGAATGCTGCGCTCAGGGAGTCCATGGCCTGGCAGAAGTGGGCAGGTCCCAGAAACAGAGGGAAATGCACCTAGACGGCTCTCACCAGAGTTAGGCCCTACACCTGCGTCAGGCATGCAGCCTCGGGGGCCGAGGTGGGACTAGCTTGATGGTTTCTTCTAGCTGCCTGCGCCCAAGATAATGGAAGAGTCTTGCTGGGGTCTTGGGTAGATGCTGAGCAGGTATTGTGAAGGGAAGGGAAGTCTATCTTTGAATCCTGGAGGGGAGTGGGTGGGACAAGGAGCACCACCAGGATGAGACAATCAGGCTAATGAGCACTCAGGATGGAGTGATGTCGGGAGAAACAGGCCAGGAGGGGGCAGGGTTGCCCGCAGCACATAGTACTGTATTTACTAATTTCTACAGGTCAGAGGTTAGTGGTGTTTGGGTTCTGTTGTTAGGCAAGGTTGTGGTCTGGTTTTGGTGGAACCCTCTACCATCCCTCCTGGTGAGGCCTCAAGCTCAAAGTAAAGAGGGAGGTGGGTGTCCAGCCCACAGAAAGGAAATGAGAGAAGAGACAACTTTTAAGTGTCCCTTGTTTCTCCAAAATCCTTAAAAACGTTTCAGCGAGCTGTGGAGTCCATATTGAGAAGGGAGAATGGGTAATAAGACAGAAAAACGTTTGAAGAAAAGTTAAACAATGCACTCTCACTCAAATGAAACACGACTTTTTAAATGACCTAAAGCAGTGGTCGGCAAACTCATTAGTCAACAGAGCCAAATATCAACAGTACAACCATTCAAATTTCTTTTGAGAGCCAAATTTTTAAAACTTAAGCTATATATGTAGGTACATTGTTATTAACTTAATTAGGGTACTCCTAAGGCTTAGGAAGAGCCACACTCAAGGGGCCAAAGAGCCACATGTGGCTCGTGAGCCGCATTTTGCCGACCACTGACCTAAAGCAAGCATGTCAAACTCAGAGGCTAACACGGACCAAATAAATGAGGCATGCGGCCCTCGGGCCGAGAGTTTGACATGCTTGACCTGAAGAATCACTGTGGGAGATAAATAAGATTGCTGTTTCAATGCAGAAGATGGGAAAAATTACACATGGAAAAGTTTTGGTTTTCTTCATTTGAAGGAAGGCTTACCAGGATAGAAATCGGTAAAAAGGTGTAACTACTTATTACCAAGTCTCTGGTGTTTTCTCACAATTGAGCCACATACCTCCCTACTTTCCCCCAAACTCCCAGCAGAATGGAGCCAAGGCTTTCATACCAATTTACTCATGGTTTTCCAAAAGCAGGAAACTGGGAGTACCCCTACTCCAGACCAGCACCCCATGACTGGGTTGGAGCCCAAAGTGGCTCTACAGTGACCACTCCTAGCAGCTTGGCAACAAGGCTGCCCGTCAAGAAATCCCACCACGAGGCTGATCAGCTGACCGTGACTCCCTGCCTCAGAAATGAAAGTGGGAGAAGGAAGAGAGCCCTTCTCTCGTTCTTCCTCACCCTGTGAGAACACTGGACTCTTCAAGGTCCCACCCTTGAGCAGGGAGCAGAAGGCAGGACAAAGGCAGGGCTGTGGACACAGTGGGGATGAACTTGGCCAACTTGATCCAGTCCTTTCGCCACTCGCCAGCAGAGGGCGCCAGCAGCTGGCTCCAGTCAACCTCAAGGATGTGAAGCTAAATGAGGACTAATGACAGGTGCTGGGAAACCGCAGCCACCAGGTGGAGGGCAGCCAGGGGCAGAAGCCTCAGACTCTGCCGTTGTCCATAGAAGCTTCTATAACAGAAGCCGCCAACTCTCAGGGAGACAGGAATGCTGTGGATTCCTTGTCTGTGGCCCAAAGAAATAGGAACAGCACAAACCTTAGCTAGTGGAATGGAAGAGAGGACATCTTCCTACAGCAAAGCAACAAGCAAACATCGCACAGGCTCAGCTCCACAGCCGGGAGGCAGAGCTGGGGTGGGAGACCTGTTGCGGGGCAAAGGTGAAGGGAGGCGCCCTGCTGCACACACACACTCCAGAAACGGACACCAGGTAACCCAAGAGCATTCTTTTTTAAAAAAAGAAGAAACTGAGCAAATGTATACAAAATACTGTCAATCTCTCCTGGGCCAACAGGGCCGCCATCACAATGCTTCACCTGCAGTGTTCTGAACGCCTGAGCTTTCTCCCGCCGCCGTCTGGGTGCTTCTGGCCCCTCCCGGCAAGCCGGTCTCCGGGCACACGCGCCACTCCTCCAGGTGGCTCCTGCTCCAGTCACCAGGCTGCACAGCGTCCGTCCGAGCCCCCAAACAGCCTTTCCCTGAAGATTCCCCGCCCTGGCAGGGAGCCGGAAATGGAGCGTCCCGTCTTCCTGTCTCCTGTCTCCCCTCCCCCGGGGATGATACGGCTTCCGTGGAAGTTCCTCGGGCAGGTGCCCTCAGGCTTTATGGGCCAGGAGGGTGGTCAGCTTGATCTTGCCATCCATGGAGGCAGTGAGGCAGGTCCCGCAGTCCATCGCCGTGCTCCAGTCCACGGTCACCACGGGGGCTCGGTGGCCACCCAGGCTCAAGCAGCTCTCCAGAACCTTCTCGTCCCCGCCCAGCTGTAAGAGGACAGGAGAGAGGAGGAGGTGTGAGCGGACGCCGTGCACAAATACATCCATGTTCTCCACCAACCACCTCGAGCCTGGGGCTGCCACGCCCACCCTTCCTGTTTAATTTCTTAGACAAGAAAATACCTTCATTGTTCTGACTACAGTTATTCCTTCATCTGAAGTGAAAAACAAGTCCCACTCGAAAAGGCAGGGAATTTTCTCTGCTGCCTTTAACTTGCTGGGGGCCAGTGCCCCTGCACCGCCCGGGGCCGCTCTCTCCCAGCATCATCCCCGCTCCCAGACATTCTTTGTTTCATGTCTGCTCCCCCAGGAATCCCAGCTGCAGGAGGGTGGGTCGTGGTCAGCTCCTGCAGTACCCAGTCGAGCTGGCACCAGCAGGCCCTCATCAATGTACAAGCTCGGCTCCCCTGACCCCACAGCACCAGCCAGGACTCGTGCAGGTGTGAGGAGTTAGAGGCAGTAAGGAAAGGGAAACCAGGGCCAGCTGAATAATGACCAATGAGGCCACAGATAGCACTCACGAGCAAGACATATACAACCTTCGTGGAGAAAACGTTTGTTTTGTTTTTATTGATTTCAGAGAGGAAGGGAGAGGAAGAGAGATAAAAACGTCAATGATGAGAGAGAATCATTGATTGGCTGCCTACTGCACGTCCCCTACTGGGGATGGAGCCCATACCTGGGCATGTGCCCTTGACCAGAATCGAACCAGGGATCCTTCAATCCACAGGCCAACGCTCTATCTACTGAGCCAAACCAGCTAGGGCGAGAAAACATCTTTAAAAGTCACGAATTGCTTACAGATTGTAAAAATGGGATCTGAAGTTCATTATATTCCTTAAGTAATTAGACCCTATTGGTATTTTAAAAATTATACAGAGGAAAATCTTTTAACTCATTAATTGGTTATAAAGCAAATCTGACTGCAAAGCATATAAACTGATCAGGACAAATGACAAAGGCACATGATTAAAAATAAATACATATACATACACATAGCATACATACAACAAATAAAAATCATACAGAGAGCAGAGCATGGCCTACCTGAAACTCAATTTTAAAATAATAAAGTAAAATTAGGCTTGTAAACAGAAAGCTTTACAGTATTTCCCAATAGCAAGTACAAGAAATTATGGCGCTAATGAGGGCCAAGGCCATCCAACACATCACAATTTGGAAAAGAGGAGCCAAGCTAATCCTTCCTCTCACTTCACCAAGGCCTGCATCCCCGTCCTCCCAACTCCTCCTCCTCCTCCACAGCCTCAGATCCACACTGCCTCCTAGGATCTTCCCTGAGGACCCAGCTCCCCCGCCCCTCTCAGAACCCTAACACTGAACTGCCCCCTGCTGGGGCTCGTGGCTCTTTCTAAAGTGCGTGTGAGGGCGAGGGGAGCAGGACCAGACCTTCTGTGCCCTGTGTGCAGGTCAGGCCTCGGCCAGCGGCCCCACACAGCTACTGTCCAAATCATGCTCTGTCTGCTGACTGGTGAGCCCTGGCAACGAGGGCATGGACAGTCCCCAAGCAGAGGACATTCCACCTTGGGGCCCTTCACACCTACAGAGTGAGCACCACCATCAGGCAAAGGTTAACATGGAGGCTGTGAATGGAACGCATCTGGTTCCAGAAACATGCGCTTAGGCTACAACACAAATCCTCACCACTTGTCTATTTGAAAATACCAGTAAAACAGGGGACATTTGTAACTTCATACAATTATACAGAAAGAGGTACATGAACCGGAGAAGCTCGGACATGAAAATTAAAGAGGTAAACTGACCACAAAACAAAGTGGACAACTTCCCTCATGGTTTGACAAATCCCAGCCAGGTCTGTCTGAGCCATGGGTTGTCATGTCCTTGACCCATGGAACTTCCAATACAACAATAAGTCTATGCCCGGTTAGAGTAACTAAGACCACGTAAGCACTTACCTGTTTGGGGCGTGTTGCTCCAAACCAACACGCTTCCCAACCCTTCTCCCATTTCTTAACAGTTTTTATAAAAGGTATTATTATAGAAAAGGAAGGGAGGCAGAGAAGGGGCAGGGTCTCGTCAAAGCACAGCGGATGGGCCAGCAGAGGAGGCCGGTGTCGCCTCTGCCCACGCTCTGCTGACTCAGTCCTGCAGCAAGGGGCCTTCGGCACTGGCCACAGGGGGCAGGGGCGGGGAAGAGGCCCACACCCAGCCCTCCGGGAGGAAGCTCCCTCCCCACCACCACACCCCAGGTACCTTGTAGATGACGCCCCCGGTGGCAGAACACGTCAGCATGTAATTTCCCTCAGAGTCAAAAGCGAAGAGCCGGCCCCGGGGAACCTGAACCTGCTTGTAGCCGCTGTAACCAGACAGCACAAAGGGGCCCGTGGCGTCCGCGGGGAGCCCGAACTCCGACACCTTCAGGCCACTCTTGTGGATGTTCCACTGGATGAACTGCAACCACAAAGCACAGCAGAGTCTCTCAGCAGCGGGACGGCCTAAGAGGAGGGGGACGGCCCCAGAGCAGAGGCCCTGGGTTCACAGGCCACCAGGAGAGGTAGTGGGATGACACCCCCTCCCCCCAGTCCCATCTCTTCCCAACACAATTTAAGCATCTTTTTAGTGAAGGAATTCTAGAAAAAGGGTCAGCAACCTCACATCAAAGTCCAGACTTTCTCTCTGGCCTGAGCCTAGGACAGTGATGGCGAACCTTCTGAGCTCGGCGTGTCAGCATTTTGAAAAACCCTAACTTAACTCTGGTGCCCTGTCACATATAGAAATTTTTTGATATTTGCAACCATAGTAAAACAAAGACATATTTTTGATATTTATTTTATATATTTAAATGCCATTTAACAAAGAAAAATCAACCAAAAAAATGAACCTGTGTCATAGGTTCGCCATCACTGGCCTAGGAGGAATGTTTCAAGTAACTGTCACTATTGTTGTTCGGGACAACACAGTGTAGTTATGAATTTAGCTTCGTGTATTGCAGCGTTTATAAGTCTTTACCTGCCCCTGGGGCAGGCTACCTGCGTGTGACCACCTCTTAATTGAGAATCCCACCCAAAAAACTAGGAAGCCAGGCTTGACTTTAAAAGCCCCCTTCCCGCAGTTTTCAAATGAAGAATTCATTTTGTAATTACTATTTTCAAATGGTAATACAGGTCGATAGGATAAAATCCAAAAGGTATAGGAGGGCACACACGAAGAGCATGTATGCTTACCCCACCCCTTTCCACGGGTCCTCACCTATCTTTCCAGAGAGAATCCACAAAGGGCACCTGTTTTTACTTTTTCCCCACCTGCCTTTTACATTTCTTGATTCTGCTCACTGCTTCTGGGAAGCTGCTCCGACCCCCAGCAAACTCTACCTGTCCATGCTCACGGGGCACATCCCGCCCCAAACCCAGACCCCACTGCTCCATGTACAGTGTTCCACGGGTCCTCACCTATCTTTCCAGAGAGAATCCACAAAGGGCACCTGTTTTTACTTTTTCCCCACCTGCCTTTTACATTTCTTGATTCTGCTCACTGCTTCTGGGAAGCTGCTCCGACCCCCAGCAAACTCTACCTGTCCATGCTCACGGGGCACATCCCGCCCCAAACCCAGACCCCACTGCTCCATGTACAGTGGGATGCAGTTCATCCAGTTCATCCTCACCTGCTACAACCAGGAGGAAGGATATGGGTCCCCCTTTCATAAGAATGGCAGCTCCCACTGAATCGAAGCCTCCACAAAGATCCGGTGAGACGGTTACTATTACCATCCCTAGTCTACAGATGACAACACTGAGGCAGGGAGAGACCCAGCAAGTGAAATCTGTGGTCAGAACCTAAACCCAGCCCACCATGCTATTCTGGTGCTCTCTAGGCTCCCAGAGGCCTAAGCCAGGGAAAGGAAGTTCCTGCGCCCGCCTACCTTCCCATCCTCGCCGATGCTGTACACGGTGTTCTCGTCGTAGCTGAACTCCACGGAGCACACCTCCCCGCAGTGGGCCTTCCAGCTCATGGCGCACTCGTGCTGCTGCATGTCTGAGGCAAAGAGACGGAGACGAGGCTAAGATTCCTGCCCAGGCCCCAGGGAGGCACTGGCCCACGGCAGGAGGCACCTCCCACCTTCTGCTCAGTTGGGGGAGCTGCTCTGAGGCAGAGGGCCTCCCCCGCCCCGAGCTGAGCCCTGCGGAGGAAGGGTCGCCGGCCGCTTCAGTTTGCTAATTCTCGCCTCCGCTGCATCTAATCTTCTATTTAACCCTCAGATAGAAGCTTCTTTCATGGGGGCTAGAGTGAGGTTCAGGAATCCCTGGGAGGAGTCCGAGCTCATCTGTAAGTCTGGGCGGACACACATCCTTCCTAGGAGGCCTCTGGAACTTCGCCCCAGGGGATCTGCTGAGGACACAGTCCCTGTCCCATCCCGGCCCTCTGACTCCGGGCCTCCTGGGACAGGCTGGCATGGGGATCTTTAAGCAGCTGCCGGTGGCTCTGATGCACACTGTTCTAACGCTTAACGGGGACAGGGAACTAGCCACACCGAGAGGACAGGACAGCATTACTCTCGAGGGTCCTCCTGGGTCTCACTCAGGCCACGAGGACTCAGACAGAACACCTCACAACGGAAGGACTGCTAAGTTCCCCGCCTCCCTTCTGCGTCCATGACACGGACCATGTGCAAGGTGACTACGGAGTTTCTGAAGACAGCAGAGTCTGACCACAGCTAAGTTCTGTTACGAGCACGCTGAACTGGGGTTTTGCTTTCGGTCCAGCTGGCAAAAATCCAACTCTCTCCCCAGGACATTTAAGGAGGGACCCGGGGCTGCCGCGAGCATGACTGCTTACCAAACAGCCGGATGACACCATCCGCCGCCCCTGTGACCAGCAGGTTCCCGTTGTGATTGAAGGCTGTGCAGTTGATAGCAATGGGCCCCGGATCCAGGGAGAACTGGAGCTGGAGAAAACAAACTAAATTTTAAAATGTCAGAGAATAATAAACAAAATGCAAGGCAAGCTCTGTCTGAAAGGGGACAGGAGACCAAGATTAGGGAGAGGCACACGAGAACATAAAAAGTACCGGTGATGTTTGAGGGAGGACGGGCCCAGAAAGGCACCCCATTTCTAAGTGAGACGCATGTGCCTAGATGAGGAAACTGGAGGAGGAGGAGACAGGCAGGGCCTCATGTTCAAGAATTCATGTGTGGCCCTGACACCTGGAGACCTCCACGTGGGAATATATACTCCTTCACAGACGATGCAGTAAGACACAACTGAACACCTGGAACACAGCCACCTATAAGACAGGGGCCCTTCAAGGGTCCAGTAACATCAGGAAACTTCAACAGAAAGGCCACACCACTTCTGAGCACCTAAACTAATTCTAATAAGAAGCATCGCTGCCCTTTAAACAGGAGAGTTTACGCATCATTTACTTTCTCTAGGGCCACGTGGCGGGGGGAGTAGGGGAAGGGAGGTGGGGCACAGAGGATTTCGAGCAGTGAAAATACCCCGTATGATGGTGGATGCATGTCATTACCTATTTGTCAAACCCACAGAATGTAGCGGGCTAACACCGAACCCTGCACGCTGTGGTGGGGATGCAGATAGTGAGGGGCAGGGGGTGTACGGAAATCTGTGCCTTCCTCTCAATTTTGCCATGAACCTTAAACTGCTCAAAAATAAAGTCTTTAAATATAAAACAAACTTAAATGAAGCCACAGGGGCCCTCTAGGAGGTGTGACTTGTGAACGTGTGGCACAATTCTGAATGACTTCAGCTGGCAATCTACCCACTGGAGCATTACTCCCTTCAACACTTACACTTTGATGTTTCCTCACAAATCAAAGTTTGAGAAGACCAAAGCAAAGAGAGGGAGAGATCAGAAGGAAGGGAGCGTGGGCCCTGTGCCCTCCCGGAGTGTGGCCAGCCCGAGGCCCCTGGGGGCAGGCCCGCACCTGCTGCTTCATGGTTTTCGTGTCCCACAGCAGCAGCTTGCCAGGAACATGGTTCGTGCCCTTGCTGCCGATGTCTAGGGCCGAGAAGTCCACCTGGGAAGTGAGGCTTGGAGCTGCGGCCGAACAGACGAAAGAGGCCCCGTTGGGGCTGCACGCGAGAGACAGGATTCTGCAACACACGTGGGGCGGGGTCAGCACTCCGTGGCCACTGGAAGGATGAGATGGGGAAAAGGCCCAGCAAAGGACCAGGCCGCAGAGCACAGTGCGGCGAGCGGCCTCCAGCTCACCTGGGCATGTCGTCGTTGATGTTGATTTCACAGAGATTCTTCTTGGCTTCCGTGTCATAAAGGCGCACCGTCCCCACACCACTGCCCAGCAAGAGCTGGAATGAGAAGGGGCGGGAGGTGTGAAGAACAGGAGGAGGTCAGGCAGGTCAGGCAGGACCATGGTGGTGGTGGGGGCCCAGGCCCTCTCCTGTGAGGTCTGGGCAGGCTGCAGGGGCGGGGCCCCCTCCACTTATCCAGGTAATTTAGGTGATATCTGGCTAAAATGGACCTCATTTAAAAATTAAATAAAGAGCCTGGCCGGTGTGGCTCCGTGGTTGAGCATCGATCTATGAACCAGGAGGTCATGGTTTGATTCCCAGTCAGGGCACATGCCCGGGTTTCGGGCTCAATCCCCAGTAGGGGGTTTGCAGGAGGCAGCTGATCAATGATTCTTTCTCATCATTAATGTTTCTATCTCTCTCCCTCTCCTTTGTCTCTGAAATGAATAAAAATATATTTAAAATACATAAATTAAAATTAAATAAAGACATCAGAGCTGACCTCGAACAGAAGTAAAACCACAGAAGGAATCTGTGGATGGGAGAGATGTATCACCCCAGACATACCTGGAAAGGTTCTGGCTGATTAAATGAGACCCTCTGTTCTTTCCTCCTTTTCTTTCCATTTTAAATCCCAGCTTTCCAGCCCTTCCTTCTCCCCCCTAATCTCCCTCCACCTCCGTGGGTGCCGCCCTGGCTGATCATGGGGCCTGGGCCCCCTTTGCTTGTCTGGGGACAGCTCTGGCTCTGAGCCAGTAAAGGCCTCCAGAAAAAATAGAAGAAGCTATCCTTGCCTTCAGGAACCTGCATTTTATTTGGTGAAAAGCTTCGAAGACAATGAGTACCACCAGAAGAAAGCACCAGAAGCAGGTCTGAGGGTATCCCCAGGAATATCACCTACATCACTTGGCAAATTATCACTGGGTATGCCCTGACGCCTTCGTACCATAACCAAAATGCCTGCAGTTGTCAAAATTATTAAAAAACGAGGCTTGCCCCTCGGGTTGCCTGCTATGGTCCCCTCAAAATGGAATAAAAGAAAAGAAAAAATTACAAATCAACTTTACCTCCTTAACTACGAAGTCTATCTCAAACATTAAAGTCCAGAAGGAAAAAATAACACTGTACTATTCCTGGAGGCAATCAGACCCGTGGGAACCGCCAAGTAGGGCACCATCCCCCACCAGCTTCAGCTGCTTCCTCTGTGCCCGACACAGGGAGCAGCTGAGAATGTTTGTGAGGGCTGTTAGAATCTGGACAGCTGCAGGACTGATGGGGAAGAACAGGAAGTGAGCCAGTCTCTCCCCAGACAGCAGCAGCGAGCCAGACCACCACAGAGAGGGAGGCACCCTGGCCGTCTGACTGGGGAGGGTTCTCCAGGTTGCATTGCAGTCTCATTTCAATTCTCATTCATCCTGTCACCTCCTTGCCCACCCCAAACAGGAGTCTATAGGGTCAGTCCTGGCTGTGTGGTCCCCATGGGGGGTGGGGTCTGGCTCGGCTGCCGGTGGTGCCTGACCACCGGTGGACAGCCCTGGGGAATTCTTCACAGACTGCAGAGCAAGCAATGAGGCATCTCACTCACCAGCCGGTCCCGCTTGGTGGCCCACTCCAAAGACAGCAGTTGTGACTTGGAAATGGAGGACGCTTTGGTCTGCATGATGGGGTTGAAGGACCACACTTTGATGACCCCGTCTACGTCTAAGCTGGCAACCCTCCTCCCCGAGCAATCCACTCTGAGACAAAAGAGAGAGGGGAGCTGTTAACATCCTTGCCATAGTCCATCCTTGTCTTCAGCTAGTTCAGATGGTTGCTTTTCTGACGTTCTAACTGCTTTAATAAACAATCCTGAAATGCCTACACTCCAATGACCAGTGGACTATTTCTAGAAATATTCATTCATTCATTTGTCCAAGAATTTCTTATGAAGCACCCATTATGTGCTGAGCCCTGTGGTAAACACTGGGCACAGAACAGTGGGCAGGATGCACTGGGCCTCGACCTCGGTGCTCAGTGTATGGAGATTGAGAGCCTCCTGCACTCGGCTTTGGGGCCCATCAAAACAAGGGACCCACCTCCCCTCTGAACATTACATCTGTGAGGGTCCCTTTATGAAAGGTCATGTTCTTACCATGTGCAAGTAAAAACTTATAAATGGTAAGTACACAGTGGGGCAAAAGTGGGCTTACAGTTGGAAAATAATACAATAATCAATAAGTAATAATAGAGAAGTAAACTCTGTGTTCCCAAGTGCTCACAAATATAAACCTACTTTTGCCCTGCCCTGTATTTATCTAAAATTACCAACACAGGCTGGCAGGTGTGGCTCATGGTTGAGCGTCCACCTATGAACCAGGAGGTCATGCACGGTTCGACTCCTGGTCAGAGCACATGCCCGGGTTTTGGGCTCTATCCCCAGTGTGGGACGTGCAGGAGGCAGCTGATCAATGATTCTCTCTCCCTCTCCCTTCCTCTCTGAAATCAATACAAAATTTTTTTAAATAAATAAATAAAATTACCAACATAAAGCAAATTAAAATTGAGTGAGCTTTAGGGAGTTCAAATAAAAGGCAGCTGTTCCTAAAACTCGGAGTCCCATGGTTAGAAAGTTCAGAGAGGCTGACGAGGGCTACAGCAGCTCTGAGCAGGACACCCCACACCCAGATGGCAGCTGCCCAGCCTCCTCTGACTCTGAGGGTGACAATGCTCCTTCAGGAATCCCACTTTCCATACCTCCTGCCAGCTACACCTTCATGCACAGCTTCCCAGGGAGACCAGTCCCACCTGGCTAGAGCTTTCCCTGGCTGGGCCTCGCCTCCACCTGAACCCACCTGCAGTGCATGATGGAGGAGTGGTGCTCCCCATACTCCTCCTGCCCCAGCACAATGAACGGCTGTTCGGAGCGGACACCTCCACCCTCAGGGCCTGCTGAGGCAGCCCGCGTCAGCGTCTCCAGCGCCTCCACGTGGAGCTCTGCGCAGGGCTCTGGTTCGGGGCCGCAAGCTTCAGGTTTCTTCTCTGCACACTGCCAAGCAAAGTAGGGAAAAGGCAGCTGTGACAGGTCTGCGCTGGGCCTACCTACCACCACATTCTGGGACACGCTGCAGGACATCTGTGGCTGCAGCACACTGCAGGAGGCTCTCGGTGATCGTGGGTCTAGAACAGTGATGGCGAACCTATGACACGCGTGTCAGAGGTGACACGCAAACTCATTTTTTTGGTTGATTTTTCTTTGTTAAATGGCATTTAAATATATAAAATAAATATCAAAAATATAAGTCTTTGTCTTACTATGGTTGCAAATATCAAAAAATTTCTATATGTGACACGGCACCAGAGTTAAGTTAGGGTTTTTCAAAATGCTGACACGCCAAGCTCAAAAGGTTCGCCATCAGTGGTCTAGAATCTCACCATCTTTTAAGGACTATTATTCTGCCTACTACAGCCCCTGAGAACATAACCTACAGGCATATTTTCTTAAGATTTTTCTA